AAAAAAAAGTTTCTCAAAAATGACGATTAAATGATTAAAATTAAGAAAGTTAAAAAAGTTTTTGTTCAGGAACTTAAGTATAGTACTGTGATCAAAGATTGGCGTACCAAAAAAATATATTTTTTCTGAACTTTAACAACAGAAATGGACATAGCTAAGTATTTTAAGGCAAATGTGTGTAGTTTGTCATTTTTGATTTTTGAAGACTTTTTTTTAGAAATGGTTTGTAAGGTATCTCATTAGCGATCAAAAGTTGACGTATTAAAAAGTATAGAAGTTGTTATTTAAATAAATATTGGGCTGATAAATGTTAAGATTAAAGCACACACTTCCTTACAGAGAGAGCAGATTTGGTGTAATTAAAAGGCAAAGCAGTTATTTCAGGAGAGTTAAAAAAAATAGATACGTGTGTTTTCGTGTGTGTGTGTGTGTACTCTAGCTTTGGGTCGCCAGTTTCATTCAGCATGATCGCTCGTCAAATGAAACAATGTATTCCATGGGACCTCAGGGTTTTCCATTTGAGCATTCGGACGCAGCGCTGCAACAAACTGTGGCTGTTTTTATCTGAAAAAAAAAAGTTGATAATTAGTCCCACAGTGACTGAACGATGAGATGCAGGGAGGGAGGGAGGGAGGGAGGGGGTTGGTGTAACCATTGAAGGAACAGGAGAGAGCTCTTAGCACACTTAATACTCCGACCTGACACTGTCTATGAATCATTAATCAATTGTTGTTTTTTTTTGTTTTGCTTTTCTACACCATTATCCATCTCTTACAGGACCTTATACAACAATTTAATTATCTGTATAATACTAATTATCCATCAAATGTGATTAGCTAAAATCCTACAAATATGTTTCCTCTCTTAATATATAATGTATACTGATTTATTATTCTTTATTTTAAAAATGGGTTATGGTAATAACAAGCAATTAAAATGCTGTCTTAATGCTGCCTTTCTTCTGCCCTAATTAGTCTGACAGGGACATTGGGCTCTAACTATAATCCTACGGTTTCCCCAATTGTTCACACATGCTCCCGAACAAGTGCCTCATGTGTAATCGGCATTAACTCATCATGTTACTGCAAATAAATACAATCTCAAAGCTCAGAGGTGTGTCAAACATCCTCAAACAGATTAGTTTAATCATAATGTACAGTGATCGTTTCCTCATCTGTCTTTCCTTATTTTTATTCGATTAATTTAACATTGTTTTTGTTTTGTTTTTTTTAAGAAAAGCTTTGTTTGAACTAAACCAAAGTGTCAAAGGTCAGTATGTAATGTTAGAAAAGAATCTGATGTTTTTTTTTTTTTTTACACTCATTTAGAGCCTCAAATGTTTGTTAATGATATTTTCCACACTGGACACAACAAAATAAAATGCATAGATGTTTCCAATCGTAAGCTGTAACAAACAAAATGTTTGTGTATTCTTTTTTCACAACAGCCCCTACTGGCCATCTGTTCTATTTAGTTTGAAAAGCTCAATCGAGTCCAGATCATCAAAACATTTCTGGTTTTTTTTATGCTAAGGTTTTTCTTTAGTTTCAAATTTTTTGCTAAATGTTTCTTGTGCAGATGAAAATCAACCATTTTCTCCCTGCCGACATGCGTAGGACGTTGGCAAGCTAATGAGCCCAAAGCACAAGTTCTACTCGGCTAGCTTATGTAAGGTAGTAAGGGTTTGTTAATGCTTTTGAGTGAGGCTGGTGCTGATAGCTGGTTCAGGATTCAGTTACCGGGGTCAGACAGCTGAGCGTCAGCAAGAAAAAAAATGCCTCACGTTTGTTTGGAGGCTCCTTTGTCCGAGGCCACGCCCTCTCACCCTCTTCCTGCCCTCCTCTCGGCCTTATTTAGCCCCCGCTGTGTCACATAGGGGTCAGGGTGAGCACGCAGATGCTCGAAGCAACCTAAGAGTGGACACACACACACACACAGAGTGATGCAGAGAGATTGTAATAGCATGGCAGAGTGCATCATAGATGGAAGTGCCTGGAAGGACCTGCTTCTCATTCTGTGGACCTCATTAGCAGCTGATTTATCTCCCCCTCCTTCCTCCTAATGCTCTGGGTGGGTGGACCTCTGTGTGTGTGTGTGTGTGTACGATTGGATTAAATGTGTGGATTTCAGTGTGTGTTTGTGTAAGAAACACGAAGAGAGAGAGAGACTAGGGCTGGTTCACCATCAGTCCACTCGATCAGAGTTAAAAAAAAATGTTGTGGACGATCACAGTCATTTTTAAGCACACTCAAACACACACATGCTTATTAACCATGCCGTGCTCTGCGCCGCTGTTATCCATTTAGCAAAATTTTGTGTTGTCTTGCAGTAATCTGCTCAAACCCCTGGTGATCCTATTATTGTTAAAGAAAAGTGCTTGTACGTCGCAGCTCAGAGAAGCTACATTCTGGGGTCTTTTTTAGCCTGAAATAATGTGGGGGAAAAAAGTTCCCATCTAAATAAATTATTGCACTTCAATCATTTTATATTCAAAGTGTTGTATTCATGAGTCTGAAACGTTTGAATAATCACCTTCTAGTAAATAATATGAACGCAGCCTGTTTTGTGTTTTAAAAAAAAAAAATCTGTAAAGGCATTTCTGGAGCTGAAGTTGCAGCCGTGCCACTAATTTGACTGTAACTTTGCCCTAAATATTTCATGGACTCCTGGGAAATTAGTGTCTCAGGAGGAGCAACATCTTTTTTTTTTTTTTTTTCACTTTTACCTGTTTCCCTCTACCTCACAGTCTCAGGGGACCAGTCAGAGTAGAAGGAACAGTGGGGAGGAATAGTTTATGTGGTGTAACTCCACTTTAAGTTAAAAAAAAGAAGGAACTATTCAATTAAGAGTAAAAATGTAATATATTTCTTGATTTCCTTAACTTGACTATTTTAGATGTAGTTTCTCTCCTAAAACAAGTGCATAAGACAAAACTCAAAGCTACATCTTACCATCCAGTGCAGAGTCTTCTCCCAGTTGATTTTCCTGGACATACTGCAGTATATTGTTGGCACCTTTAAGACAAAAGCACAAACTTTTAAGCATTATGTGAAGAACTTTCCACAAAATGCTAAAATCACACTTCCTCTTACCCTCCTCTGTTGTTTGGTTTCCAGATGTGAAGAACCTGGAGAACTTTCACCTTGTAGAAAGCGTCCAGGAGCAGGTCAACGCGGCGCTGCTGGACTACGTCATGTGCAACTACCCGCAGCAAACGGACAAGTTCGGCCAGCTGCTGCTGCGGCTGCCTGAGATCCGAGCCATCAGCCTGCAGGCTGAGGAATACCTTTACTACAAACACCTGAACGGCGACGTGCCCTGCAACAACCTGCTCATTGAAATGCTCCACGCCAAGAGAGCTTAGGAGGAGGACTGCGCTAACCACAGTGCAGCAGTATGGACTTCAGTGGAGTGATTCTGCAGCCCCTCACAAACTGTAAAAAAAAAGAAAAAAAAAAAGCTCAGACTTGCCCCCGGTGTTGACCTGGAGAAGCTAGAAACTGTTTAAAGTGAGCTTGTGGTGATATTTAAGACTCGACCTGGAGCTTCAGATCTGGACGAGCAGGAGAAGAGTGTTGACGCCAACGAAGCGGAACCGCTGCTCAGTCCCACTGAAAATACTGAAAAGACAAACACGGCCTCCAGTGGGGGTGTTTTGCAGCCCCCCCAAAACTGTAAAAAAAAAAAAAAAAAAAAAGCTCAGACTTGCCCCCGGTGTTGACCTGGAGAAGCTAGAAACTGTTTAAAGTGAGCTTGTGGTGATATTTAAGACTCGACCTGGAGCTTCAGATCTGGACGAGCAGGAGAAGAGTGTTGACGCCAACGAAGCGGAACCGCTGCTCAGTCCCACTGAAAATACTGAAAAGACAAACACACTTGAAACAAACACTGCATTTGCATTGAAAACATAAGATGGTATTTAATCCTCTGTAAGAGCACAGACTATCAAGACTGGACTCCTGAAGAATGAACAGCTCTTCAGTGTTTCGTCACTGATGACAGGAAGTTGAGTTACACTTCCTCCAGAGCAGAGCAGCGGCTGGTTTTGGGTCAGTTCTCCTCGGGTGTGCTCTCTCTTTCTTGATCTTTTTCACTGAAACTGACTTTTTGCTGTCGTGGTACTGTGAAGACTATCTGGGGAAACAAAGCGAGGCTCTAATGAACCATCAAGTTTTTGGTTTTTGTGTTTCTTTTTGCCATGGCAGCTTGAACTGACTGAAAAGGAAGAACAGAAAGTTTTCAAAACAGGTCTGAACATTCTTTAATGAGTAACATTATAAATAGGCCAATAAAAAAAAAATTACATTTTTTTCCCTCTTGTTATGGAAGTCATTTGCTAGTCTTGGTCAAGTTGTGGATCCTCTTCCTCGTTACCTGTTCCCTGATTCTTCCTAGTGTGTACCTCAGAAAGACCAGTGTTAAATAAATTCAGTTAATAATTTCACCTGAAACTGTTGTATCTATCCACCGTTTCCCTTTCAATTCCTCAACCTCTTTTTCCGCCATTTCATTAAGTGATTCTGGAAAACACGGACATGGATCGACCCCGAAACGTTGTCCGGAAAGACCAAAGCCTGCTGCAGAACAGTAAAAGAAAATGACAAAAAACGTAAATAATCAGTATTATAAAAGAAGACGACGAAAAAAAAAAAAAAAGATTTGTGATGTCACAGTTATGTGAGTCTTGCCTTATTTCATTACCATGCTAGCTAACCGTGCAGATGTGAATGAAAAATATGTACAAATATACATAAATATATATATAAAGTAATATTGTTGTAAAAAATTTAAAAAAAAAAGAATAATTGAACAGGTGTTTACATTTCTGTGCTAATATGGGAGAGAACTGTGATGAAGCAGCAATTGCAAAGCAATGATTTCCTAAAAAAAATGAAATTGACTAAATGAAAAAAAAAATCCTTTTGGTTTGCTTTATTTGATGTCTGTACAGTGCTTTTTTATTATTATTATTTTTATTTGTTTTGAGCAGTACTTAAATTATGTCGTGAGACACTAAAATCAAAGGGAATCACTTAAAATTTCTATCTGTGTCTGCTGGCATTCAAACGTCTGTTTCTTAAACGTTGCTCTGTAGGGTTCCATGTTTCACCTTCAGCGATTTGTAGCCTCTTTTTTTTTTTTACAGTGCTTTTACCTTTTTGATGTACAGTATGTCACTGGTTACGAATATAAATGAAAGATAATTTATTGCGCCTCTGGGTTTCCATCTTCGTGTTACATGAGGTGAGGTGTCTGCGGCAGAATAAATTTGTTTTTCTGTTGCATGTTCTTGTTTTTTTGGTTCCATTCGTTGGTTTAAAACGCAGGTCGGGAGCAAAACAATGACAGGATTTAAAAAAAAAAAAGTTAAAAAAGAGAAACAGTGGCACAATTGATTTTGATTCCTTATACAAGTCTGTGTTGTATTCAAGAAAGTCAGTGTTTTTTTTTTTCCTAAATCTCAGACTCCGTCCTTGTCCTGTACGGTTTGCTCTAATACCAAAGACTGCACCTCTTCTCTGTGACCTGTGACTTGGATAACTGTGCCCCAAATGACCAAACTGTCTTGATATTATTATTATTATTTGTCTATAGTTAATATAAAACAGCAGCCAAAGTTACCCTCACATGGAGCTCTTTGTAAAATAATTGTGACTGCTTTTGTCCCCAGTACTTGCTCAACAAAACAAGCCGTGGTGTTTACTCATCCAGGGTCCCTTGGTCTCTTTCTACTGCATGTTCACATTCATTCCACATCAATGGACTGGTTTGGTTGGACAATCTCAAACTCAAGAAATATTTTCTGAACAAGACTCAGCTAAAAAAAGCTACCGCTCTGTTATTCGAAGTTCATAAGAACCGTCATTGTGAATAAATGGAACGCTCCATGATCGAAAAAATTAACAAACTCAAGAAATATTTTCTGAACAAGACAAAAAATTAACCTTTTCCTGCTGGTTGTGATCACAGGCCAGCAGTTTATAACAAAAAACTATTCAAAATATTACTGCAAGAGAAATGCAACATCCCACAAATACAGACTTAAGTTGTAGTCTAATAAAGAATCAAAATGGTGTTTTTTTGTGTATAGCTGTAAATAAGGTCACAATTTTGACAGAACGTTAGATACACACAGCGGTGTTTGGTGGGGCACCAGTTCATGTTGCATTGCGTTTGCATGATATTCTGAGTGTTAAAGTCATGTATAAGTGGATCTGGATCGTTACTCACCAACAGTAGCGTTCCTCCTCACAACATCCTGCTCCTGGGAAATAAAGATTAGAGAAAGTGTCAGCAGTCAGAAATAGATTTACAAATGTCAGACTTTAGAAATCAATCTATTCTGAAAATAGTTACCTTTACATCCTGATGGACCTGTTGACATGTGGACATGAGATGAAACCACAAGCTCATCTCCTTGTTGACCTGTCTTTATAAACTTTCCACAAACTTCCCATCGTCCACAACAACGTCCAACATTAACACAGTCTTTAGTTTGTTTCTTAATTTCCAAGTTTTTTATTATTATTATCATTTTTATAGAAAACACAAAATAGTCATGAACACTTCCCACACATTTCAGATAAATATTTTTTAGGGTACTTATGGCAGATTTTTCTTTTACATTTGTGAATATATAAAATATCCATCTTTACACAAAAATCCTTCAAAACTATATCTACCAAATTTTTTTCTTCATTTCTTAATATTGTAAGTTAAAAGAGAAAAGGCGTGGAGCTCATGCCACTAAAGAACCTGGTTGAAAGACATCAGGAATGTTGTAGTCACATTATACGGTATGTTTCTCACACTTATGAGTTCATTACTTAAAAAGAATGACGACAAATGCACACAATACAGGACCAAAAATACGAGCTCTGAGAGGCATATGTACAGTCAAAGAGGCAGCTTTCACAAGTGAACTATAAAATAACCACTGAAAAAGATTTTGCAGCCGTACAGCTTCAGTTTTCATACAGTACGTCATAAAAACATAAACAAAAAGAAAAGATAAATCAAAAATCAAACTACTTCAGATACCAATAAAAAAAAAATACAAACATGACAATTCTGGCTGTACTTGACATGAAATGTAAAGATAAAGGGAAACAAGAAAAGAAAAAAAAATCATAATCACCTCTTCAGCAACAAGGTCAGTCTACGTACACGAGACCGTAGCTTTTCTGCGGCGCGGGGCTACGAGGGAAACAGGAAGTTGTAAACTCCAACTCCATGGGAACATGGAGACTACAACCAGTGGGGAAGTCGTCCTCTTTGGATGGAGGTGGTGGAGGAGGAGGAGGAGGATCCTGGAGAAATGAAGGAGAAGAAGGTAAGTATGTGGATTAAAGGAGAAGATATTTGAAGGAATATTCATCAGAGTAAAAATTAAGAGGTTTTCAAGTACAATGACATGCCATATGAACAAGGCAGATTCAATCAGGGTATTAATTTAGGTAATGCAAAAAATTCAAACCATCGCTCTCATAAATCCTCTGAACTGACATCAGAACTCACGGCCTTTTCATCTGATCACCGTCGGACACAGATTTCTTTCATCCATCTGTGATCGTCACAATTACAGTTCCATCGAGTGCAATTCTCATCAAACTCTCATCGTTATTACTGTGTGAGTGAATTAATCCAAAGTAACAGTCAAGGTCACAGAAACCTGTGTTTCCATTGAAGTCTTTCAACCTCTGACTCACACAAACCAGCTCTGACATGAAAGGATCCTTTGTTGTACACCGAGTTTTGACATGAAGTACTTTTATTCGAGTGGTTTATACCAGTAGAAAAGTACTAATACTAATTTATACCAACACAGTCTCAGTCGGACGTCTTCTCAGTGTTATTGTCACAGGTCTCTACACATGTAACACCTCTGATACTGTTACATGAGACCAGGGTTTGAATCCTCCGTGTCGCATAACATTGAAGTTTGATTCTTATACTTTTCAACATTGACCTTTGACATGTATGATTTCGGGCTGGTTTAGCTCTAGATTCTATAAGGAAAAATATTATATACAGTAAACCCTTGTTTTTCGCGGGGGTTACGTTCCAAAAAGAACCCGTGATAGGCAAAATCCGTGAAGTAGAAATCTTTATTTTTTTTACAATTAAATACTCAGAAAAAGAAGAGAAAGAACGAACAAACCATTTTACAGTCTCAACCATTTGTTTCACAAATAAAGTAAAATAAAAGTACTTTAGAAACGTTTCAACAAATAACTTCTGTAATGTACTGTCAAATAATAATTTTAATCATCAACGTGAACAGAAGGCTTCAAATTGCGGAGATTAGCACCGCCCACCGTGAACGGGAGAAAATTAAAAATGATTATGAAAAAAATACAAATTACCTGGTCTTGTTGCGGGCAGTTGCAACCCTTTTTGAATCCTTATTAAAACTTATTGCTGCTGTCTTCCTTATGTTTTTTTCTTCCTTCTTTATGGAACGAACGGAAGATTCATTAATTCCATAATGCCGACCTACAGCCGCATAGCTTTTACCTTCATTTAGCATGTCCAATAGTTTTACTTTATCACCGATAGACAGCATCTTCCGCTGCCTTTTGGTCCCTACCGCAGGTACTTTTGCCGGTCCAGAGCGTTTTGTCGACATTATGGGGTTTGATAAACTCGAAATTGCAAGAGAATTTGCACGTACGTAATGTCAATTTGGCAAGCTGTTTTACGTACGTGTACATATTAAACCGCAACGTTATTGGCGCACAGGTAGAGAAGAAGCGGAGTGACTTTTTAGCCAATCAGAATGCAGAACACAATGCACGATGCAAATCCGTGAAGTAGCGAAACCGTGAAAAGTAAACCGCGTTATAGCAAGGGATCACTGTATAATATAAATATGTAAATATAAAATGAAAAATGTTTTTATGGTTTTTTTTTTTCATTTTCAATATTTTGAATTTTTTATTTTTTTTGTTTTTTACATTAAACTCACAATTTATATTTTTATATTCATATTGGCATAGTGCAAAAAAAATCAAAACTTTTTTATTTTATTTACTTCAGTTTCAGATTCAAATACAAAGGAGAAATTTCTGACCATGAACACCTTGTTTTTTGTTATAAAGGTAAGAATTCTAAGGAAAAAAAAGTCAACACTTTTACACAACACACAATTATACACTACATTTTTATAGGAAGACAAAATAAAATAGCAAAAATCTGTTCAACTAAGTGACATTTTTTTGACTATCCAGTGTTTGCTTTTTTCAGCTACGACTGCTGACTATAAGAGCATGCTCTCATGCTGGTTAAACATGCTGGTCACAGCTGGGCAGACGTCCAGCCCAATCCCCAGGTGCACAGTGTTACAATCCTCACTAGCAGCTTGGCTTGCAGTGCCTGGCCTCCTGTCTGTAAATGTGTTAAACCTACTTCTGCTCTCGCTCTGAATTTGTATAAATAATGTATATACGTTTATCCACAGACTCTAACAAGTGCAGCCTCAGGTGAAAATACTCATAAATGCATGCTATGTGCATCCCTGAAGGTGGACATCAACTCCACACCGACCAGCTCAGAAGATAAACCGCACACAGAGCAGAAAAAAAAAAAATCACAAATGAATAACTTGCCAAAAGCAACATCGCCTCTCACAGACACACACACACACAGACAGAGACACACACAGAAAGACACATTTTGTTGTCAGTTTCTAAACAAGTTTTCCTTTGCGTCACACAAACAGCCTCAAGTTGTGTCTGCCATTGTTGAAGCTTTTAAACTCTGGAACTACATCACTCATGTTTACCGAGATGTGTTTGTTCGTTTCCCTGAATTGTCAAAGCACAGCCGAAGAAAAGAGACTGGGGGCATTGAAAAAAAAAAAAGAAAGATTTTGGAAGTGTTCCAACATTGCAGTAAAAGATGTAACTGAATGCTGGAATATGTCTGTTTGCTGCTCAGTCCACCTTCAGGCACAGCTCGAGGGCCGAGAAGAGCACAGCCGGACAGGTTGAAACACACGGTGGCAAAACCTGACCCTGGTGGACAGATCAGGTCAAAACACCAATTTATAATAATATTTTTATAATTCTGCCAAAATACAAAAATAGCAACAAAATTGACCAGATATGGGAAATTTAAAAATAGTAAATAAATATAAATGCCCAAAATGACCAATTTTTTTTTTTTTTAAATAAAAAAAAAAAAAAAAAATCGTATCTATTGAGGAATCTCGGGCATTGCACGGAAATCAATTATATAATTTGGACAAGTTTCGTGGGCTGGAATAAGGAGCTAAACAGGCCACATCTGGCCCGCGAGCCATGGTTTGCCCATGTCTGAGTTAGCGTACAGCAATGTGTACAATAACCACAAAGTATTTCCTTCTGTCTTCGTCATCGTTTCATTTGTTTGACGATCACAGCAGAACAAAACGGAGGATCAGGGGGAAAAAAAAATCCAATCTCTTCACAGAGGCAATTAGCCAACTTTCTAATCACTTACCTCCGACAGCAGCTGTCGGATTCTCTGATTGGTGGCCTGATGGACAAACTTTAAAAAAGGTAAGGATCAAATTAATAGGCACATTCACTATTGTTATGCTAAAAACCTCCCTGTTGAATGCAAAACAAACACACTAAGGTTTCGGAGATGGAAAGGTTCGAAGGCCGCTGCTGTTTTATTTCAAACATGCATTATACATCATTGTGCATAAAGAGGAAGCCTACAGCATTGTGATGTTTTTTTCACCATGATTATCCTTTATTAGTCATTAAAAGCGAGCTGCAGAGAGAGAGAGAGAAAAATACAACTTTTAAGCACCTGAACCTTGCTGCCAGCATTCCATTAATTGCCTGCACAATGGGGAGAGCCTTCGGAGATTTTTCAATTTAAAAAAATGACGAGCATGTATTCAGTCGTGCTCATGTTATACCGGCACTTAAATCCTACAGAGCTCACATAAAAAAGGACTCAAGGTTGCATCCGATTGAAAGCCTCCAACTACAGCCACTTCAGAAATCCATTTAGCAAGCAGTGGGTTAGAACATCTAATTCAAACAGACGCCCTGTTTAAACGGTTGCACCAATGTCTTATAAAAAGGCACACACACACACACACACAAACACAGACACACACTTTCAGGAACGCACTTATTTCCCCTGTGTTTGCTTGGCTCCATTGTACGGAAGATGAATCTGGCACATAGAGAGATAGCAAGACACAAAAAGAATTAATCTTGCCAGACCTCAGCCAAGTGGCGAGGGTAAATGCTTGAGTGAACATGGAATCTTGACCTCTGCTTTGACAGTGTCACAAAGAGTGCTTTATGGGAGCGACAAAGAAAGAGGTCTATGGCGTCTGTAATAACATGACAACCTGAATGTCACGACACTGTTCATCAGAAACAGAATCCTGGGGAAAAAAAAAATCCTACAGAAACCCATCTGTGGTTCACATTTAATAACAGAAAAGTTAAAGCAGGAAGCAGAAGCGATGGTCCATTCAGGTGAGGACAATTCATATCTAATGTTTGTCTGTCAAAATTAAAGTTCCTGCAAATATTTACAGTAACACTGAACATTTATGAAATAAAAAGTTCAACTTTTAACAAATCTTCACTCCATTTATAATGTTAGAAAACATGACCTCCAGGGGTCAAAGATGTCAAAAAATGATATACATAGTCAACCCAATGTTGACCCTTCTCCTGCTACGCACAAAATTATTATTTTCTTTATATAAAATATGGACAACTTTTAGTTCATGTCACTTCCCTCACCTGGCCTGCAGAGGCTGCTGTAAACACACATTGAGTTCTTTGGCAGGATGGCTGAGATACCTAAGTGCTTGGACACTGGATATCAACAGTCAGACAATAATGAAACAACAACCTCTAATCTGTAGATCTCAGACGTAAACCAAAAATTTGAAATCTTTACTTTCTCACTCCAAACTAACCTCAAATTATGTTCCATAGATCAGAGAAATTAGTTTAGATTTTTACGAAGCTCACCTCCACCAGTCAGGTGATCCTCTCTCCCACTTTGACTCACTCGTTTCACTGGCTCTTGAATCTGACACATATCTACATTCTTAGAGTTGCAATGCTGCCTCCTACTGGCAGAGATTCATTCAACTCTTTGACATTTAGCTAGTTCATCACAGGGTCACATTTATGGACAACCATTCACACTTTTACCTATCATCCAGAATCTATTAACCTAATGATGCAGGTGTTTGGACTCTGCGAGAAGCGCAGTAACCAAGTCAGCCTCCAGGGGGTTTGCTATAAACTTGTAAAAATGTTACATACCAAAAAAAAAAAAGATT